CCTGGCCAAGCACTAACAGAACTCATGACACACCGAGCTGCTCTCACCTGCCCTGGCAGCTCCTGGCACCGTTTTCATAAATATGGATATTAACATGACAATATTTCAAGAGTTCAACCAGATACTCATGTCCTCTCTGTCTTGCAAAACTTCTTTCCAAGAAGAACAGTATGGGGTTGGAAGGGAGCTCTGGAGATCATCTCCTCCAGCCCCCTGCCACAGCAGGGTCACCCACAGCAGGTCCCACAGGAACGTGTCCAGGAGGGTTTGGAATGTCTCCAGAGAAGGAGACTCCACCACCTCTCTGGGCAGCCTCTGCCAGGGCTCTGCCACCCTCACACCAAACAAGTTCCTCCTCGTGGTGAGATGGAACTTCCCATGTTCCAGTTTGTGCCTGTTCCTTCCTGTCCTGTCACTGGGCACCACCAAAAAAAGCTCTAAGAAGGAACGAAATAAGCAGTTCTGCAAACATTTTTTTTTTTTTAAATAATCTTCACCAACATATTGCCTTCTAAAAACCAGGGAAAACAAGCCTTTTGCTACTTCATGGCCAAACCCCCCCAAAAATGATAATCAACACTTTGTGTACCCTCTGAAGAGAAACGGAGCTTCAGGGCAGGAGGAAATGGAAGTGCCAAGAGAGAATTGATGAGAAACAGCGTCAGATGCCAACTTCCTGAATGAAAAACCAAATGAATCTGCTTTATCAAGGGAGCTCCGAAGTGTCCTCGGGGCGGCTGGAGCGTGTGGCGCAGGATCGGCCCTGGGGAGGGCAGATTCAGGAGGTAGGAAGGATGGAGATAAAGGGGTGTGAAAGGGTTAATATCCTAAAACAATGAACTTGGCAAACTTCAGGAACTCTTCCTTTCACACTTACCTACAACCTGGGCTTGGGAACAGTCCCAGAGGGGAGGGACTCTGCCCCGGCCCAGCCCCTGGAGGTTCTTCAGGACATAATGGAACTGCTGGAGAGGGGACAGCAGAGGCTACAAAGATGATGAGGGGCCTGGAGCATCTCTCTGCTGAGGAAAGGCTGAGGGACTTGGGTCTTTGGAGTCTGGAGAAGAGAAGGCTGAGGGGGGATCTGATCAACACCTATAAATCCTTCAAGGGTGGGTGTCAGGAGGATGGGGCCAGGCTTTTCTCAGTGGTGCCCAGGGACAGGACAAGAGGGAACGGGCACAAACTGGAACATGGGAAGTTCCACCTCAACATGAGGAGGAACTTGTTTGGTGTGAGGGTGGCAGAGCCCTGGCAGAGGCTGCCCAGAGAGGTGGTGGAGTCTCCTTCTCTGGAGACATTCCAAACCAGCCTGGACACGTTCCTGTGGGACCTGCTGTGGGTGCCCCTGCTGTGGCAGGGGGTTGGAGGAGATGATCTCCAGAGGTCCCTTCCAACTCCCCAAGATCTCAGTTATGTGTTGTCAGTCAGTAGCCAACTTCCCTTCAAGACTTAACAAAGATTTTCTTCCCAAGACCTACACCCAAAACCAGGCCCTCAGCATCCTGTTGAGACACCCCACTACCCAGAGCCTGGAGGTGGGTGCACAGTGGTGTCTCAGCACCTCTGGCCACCAGCAAGCTCTCCCATAGCTTCCTGTTCCACCGCTTCTTCTGGTGCCACCACACAGGCCTGGCAGGGGTTGGGCAGCCACCCCAAGGATCACCACCAGCTTGCTCACCCCTTGGCAGCTCCATTAAGCTCTAGGTATAATTACCCAACTCCTCACCACCAGCAGAACGACACCAGGAAATTTAATACCGGATTAAAAAAAAAGGAGAGATTTATTAAATTGCCAAATCAAATCCAAGCACAGCAAATGATGAGGTGTCTCCTCTCGAGAAACGTCATTAATAAGTTTGATTTTAGCAGAGAAGTTATTTCCCAACGAAAATTACTCCTTTTTCACCCACATGAAGACCCTCAGCCCCTGCTAACGAAAGGGCAAGGCAAGGGAGTTCAGTGGAGATAAGTTCATCTGGAGATAAGAGGGGATTTACCTCCAAACATCAACCTTCCAAGTTTAAACACTTTAAAAATGACCCAATTCAGGGACAGTTCTGGCCCTGCCACTCTTCCTCAATCATTGTCCCAAGTTCTGATTCACACTCTTCATTTTCAGCGTTGCCAATTTTCTATAAATATGAGGAGGTCTCCTGCTATTATTGCATAAAAAGTACTCTAAACACCCATAAAACCACATTATCGTTCAGGTTACTCATGAGCTGCTGCAGAGAGATTGCAATAAAATCTATTTTATGATTGAACAGAAGAATTACAGTGGAAAAACTGAGTAAAATTCTTGTAATAAAATGGCAACAGATTGATTCTTTCTCTTTGCCCTCTTCCAATTGAAAGAGTTCATAAGAAGAAAAATATTTTATTGAAATTTATAACTATGTTTTAGAAAACAGGAATAAATATGATCACAGCAGAAAGCAGCAACAGCATAACACTATAAAAATTTCGTAAGTTGAGATATTAACTATTTTCTTGAAGCTAACTAATAGCATATTCTAGGAAATCATGACATTGTAGGTAAATTTAGGCAAGTGGGAATGTTTAGCACAGAAAAGGAAGGAGAGTATTAAAGAGGGATTAATGGTGCAGGGACACCCTACCCTGGAGATCTACTGAACCAATGGACAGGAAGGGATTTAATGCAGACTTTTATTGTGCTTTGTATTACTTAATTAAACTCAAGCCCTGCCATCTTAACCCCACCTTAACATCCACGTCAGAACAAAGACTAAACGTGTGACTTGACACTCTTGAGGAAGTTGAAAAAACCCACTGGTTTCATTACTTTCAAATGTGGCTTTTCAGTGGGAAAAGCCCCAAATAAATGCAACCCAGGCTTACAAAAATAAGCGCAATGACAAGGAAAATTTCTCTCTCCTTCCCTTTGTTGACGATGGGCAACTACAGAAGACTTCTGACTGCTTTGATGACTACAACAAGCAATGGCCATTTCTGTAGCACACTTACATCTTGCTACAAATTAGGAAGGCTGTAAAAAAACTATAAAAAATTGGTTAACTCAATTTAGGGCGAGACAGTCAAGTCAGATATTCACGTACTCACTTATACCACCAGTAGAAGTAACATCGCTCAGCTCCTCATTTCCTTCAAAGGATTTTGGCAGCTTCACGTTAATGGCTGCCCGCAGGTTGGCCCAGAAAAGGGGCTGCTTGCTCCTCTCCTTGGGCCACTCCAGGTAGGTTCGCTTGGCCATCAGAGCCTTCAGCTTGTGGTACCTGGCGGGGATCACGTACGGAGGGATGGGCTCCAGCAAAATGAGGATTAAGCTGTTGGAAGTCTCGCTGAAGAGCTTGTGGTGGGCAAAGTACAGCTCGTAGTGACACCACTCGCTCTGCACAAAGTTGGGAGACAGCACAAAGATGGACCTGTAGCTCTTCTCGATGCAGGTGATGATGTTCTCCACGATGCTCTTGCCGGGGATGAAGTTCCTCTCGTGCTGGCACAGCTGGACGCGGCCCTCCCCCCTCTCCAGGTTGGGCATCAGCTCCTCCTTCACCCACGCCGCGTCCCGCTCGCTGTAGGACACGAAGGCGTGGAACTGCAGAGCCCCCTCCTGCTCCTGGGGCTGCTGGTGCCGAGCCCCCCCCGTTATCAGGTTTGCGTGTTGATATGATGATGGATGGAAAAATAGCATTCCTGCTCGTCACCGAGGTGACCAGCCAAATGCCAGGAACCTGCTCTGACACAGGGTCTGACATCAGAATGTGTTTACACGCTCCCTTTTCCTCATACCTGGAGCACGTTCGCGGTCAGAGCTTCCCGTGCAGAGCCAGTCCCACACTCCCACCACCGAGGCGCGCGGAAAAGGGCAGCCACTTCCCAAAAGGTGAGAAAATTGAGAAAATCATTCCCCTCCAGTGGAGTCAGAGGAACTCGATGCAGTAATTCACTGCACGCGTACCTGTTCTCTCAATCGTCTGGCACACAGAATGGACAACAAAAAATCTGTTAGTATGCGGGCTTCTGGTTCCAAAGTACAAAAGTACAAGCTGGAATTGCTCCCCATGCTCATTAAAAGCCTCCCTTTCCAACAGATTCACAAAAGGACTTTGGATACGTATCAGAAACCTGGAATTATCTATTTCTGCATCTGATCGCATCAGGTCACGCAGTTCCCACGTGGGAAGCAACCCCCTGCTAAAACCTTCCACTCCTGAAAGAAATCACTCATTTCTGGCAGGAGCTGGGCGCTGAGTGACAGGAGGGATTCCTGGTGCACTCACTGACTTCCAGGGGGTTCCTCCACCCGACAGAAGCAGCCACACAGGGTCTGAAAGCTTCACACACAACAGGGGATGTTAAAGCTACCACAGAAGTTTCAAGGGCTGCTAAAGCTAAAACTCGGAGGCTTTCAATGAAAATTTTCAAGCCAGAGACTCTGTAACAACCCAGCTGTGTGAAAGGGACCAGCAAACCAAGTTAGGTCTGTTCCTCTTCAGTTTGCCAAGGGTTAAATGTTAACACAATGTTGGGGGGGGGAGAAGAGGAAGCACAGAAAGTGTTTCTTTCCGCAGCCCTGAACGAAACGCCTGCAATTTGGCAATAGGAGTGTTATAATAATTCTGAGGCCGAGCAGGATGAGAGAGGCAGAGGTGTTACATTGGATCTCTCCCCTCCAAATCATTAAATGGTCGCTCACAGCTCAAGACTTCAACTCAAGAGACCTCAGCATGGTCAGACCTCAGGCAAAAAAAAAAAACAAAACCCAAAGCTAAATTAAAAGTCATTTGTTAAGAATAAGGGAAGACAAGAATGAGATCATCTTTAGTAGTTGTGAAATGTTTGCCAGAGAGCAAACTTTCTAGAAGCCAAAGCAGCCCAAGTTATGGGTAACGGGGCCTGCTGCATTTCTAGGAAGGACAGCAAATACCCCAAATGCAGCTTGTCCTTCTGCCCCCGTGAACGCAGCGTCTCACCTGCTGTCACAAGACATGGCAGGTCTTTTCAGCCTCAGAGGGGTTATTCCCTTTCTGATCAGAACTCGTAGCTGTGCTGGAAAAGATACTGTTCCATCTGAAAAAGGACACATTCTTTTCATCATGAGCATAAAGTAAGATGTAGGGGTTGAGTTTCTCTCTTGTAGCATGGCCACGTTTGTCCACCTACGCTGGATGTTCACAGAATCCTGTATCTGGGTCCTACCCTTTTAATCTTCACTGAATCTGAGAAAATTCTACCCAGGAACAATCTCAAGCTCTGCACTTTGAGACACCTTCTCAGGATGCCTTATTTCCTCTCTTACAAGCCGATTCTAGCAAAAGAGGTCCTGTGACCCAGCTGCCAACGCCCTGGGACCAATGCAGCTCTGCAAACTCTGCAGAAACTCAAGCATTCCTCCATGTGACTGCACCACATTTTATTCTGCTGAGAAAAATTCCCTGCAGTATGTCAAGCTGGGTTGCAAAACCCACATCCAAACTCCTGTCCATCTGCTATCTCTGTATCAATCACCAGAGAACACCAGGATGCTGAGCTGAATTTTGCCTACAGTTAGGAGGCGGCACAAACGACTCTAGAAAAACAAGGTTCTGTAAGAAAAAGTTAAATACATCAACAACCACTGGAAATGATAAAGCATTTATTGCTTCACCCAGAATAAAAAAAAGCAGAAGAAACTCCATGAGCAAGATTCCTAATCTGTTTCCCCACACCTCTGTCCATCAGCCACTGGCAGCTTCACGTTAATGGCTGCCCGCAGGTTGGCCCAGAAAAGGGGCTGCTTGCTCCTCTCCTTGGGCCACTCCAGGTAGGTTCGCTTGGCCATCAGAGCCTTCAGCTTGTGGTACCTGGCGGGGATCACGTACGGAGGGATGGGCTCCAGCAAAATGAGGATTAAGCTGTTGGAAGTCTCGCTGAAGAGCTTGTGGTGGGCAAAGTACAGCTCGTAGTGACACCACTCGCTCTGCACAAAGTTGGGAGACAGCACAAAGATGGACCTGTAGCTCTTCTCGATGCAGGTGATGATGTTCTCCACGATGCTCTTGCCGGGGATGAAGTTCCTCTCGTGCTGGCACAGCTGGACGCGGCCCTCCCCCCTCTCCAGGTTGGGCATCAGCTCCTCCTTCACCCACGCCGCGTCCCGCTCGCTGTAGGACACGAAGGCGTGGAACTGCAGAGCCCCCTCCTGCTCCTGGGGCTGCTGGTGCCGAGCTCTCCGCTTCGTCTGCGTCCACTGCCACGTCATCCGCGCGTACCACGGCACGTCCAGGTAGATGCACAGAAAGGCCACCACGGCCACCAGCGCCAGCGTCACCACCAGAGCCGTCACCAGCAGGAGCGTGGTGTTGCAGGCCAGCTCGGCCAGGTGGAAGTCCTCCAGGAGCCTTCCTCGCAGCTCCTCCGGGTACTCGCACACGTAGGCCCCCGGCCAGCCAAACAGCTTCCCCCCAGAGCGCCTCTCCAGCCGCACAAAGGCCTGCAGCTCACAGGAGCACTTGAAGGGGTTGTGCCCGCCCTGCAGCTCCCTCACCCGCGGGCAGCTCTGGAAGAAGTCCACCAACGGGGTGAGGATCACGTTCATCTCCACGTTCAGGAAGGCCAGCGACGGGAAGCCCCCGCAGCCCGGCAGGTCAGCCAGGCGGTTGGACGCCAGGTTCAGCTCTCTCAAGGACTTCAGCTCCGCCATCCCCCTGGGGACACTGCTGATCTGGTTGTTCTGCAGCTCCAGCTTCTGCACGTTGACTGGCAAGCACTCAAACACGGCATCCGTCAGCTGGTTGGAGGACAGGTCCAGCTCCGAGAGGGACTGGGCCCAGCGGCACGGCTCAGCAGGCCCATCGTAGCTCAGCAAGTTGCTGCTCACGTCCAAGAACTTCAGCGACTTCATACGGCTGGTCATGAAGCTGACCTTGGGAAGGCTCTCCAATTTATTCCTCTGTAAAACAAGGAACTTCAGGTCTGTCAGAGTGCCACAGTTCTGGAACAATTCATCCGTCAGGGCGTTGTGAGAAAAATTTAAGTACTGGAAGGAGCTTGTTCTGTTGGGGCAGAGCATGTGGGGCATGGAGGCATCGAAGATGGTCAAGCTGGCAAGAGGCATCTCCGAAAACTGTCGGTACAGAACCTCCTGGTTGAAATAATAAACCTTGTTCCGAACGTGCTCCAAAGTCAGCGCCTTCATGGAGCCACTCAGAGAAATTCTTTCCTCCAGAGAACTTAATAAAGGTAGAAATTCATATCCGGGCAGCTCCTCCACGGGTCCCCAAAAAGTCAAATGTCTCACAGTCAGACGTTCCACAGGCGAATACCAAACCAGCAGGAAAATCTGCAAAATGACAGGCCATTGTAAGTCCACGGTGTCCAGCATCAGAGCTGTTGTCTTGATCTCCTTCAGAAGCGTTAAAGGAGGAGAGGGGAAATAGCCAGAGCTCAAGGTGTATCTTAAATTATCAATCCTTAAGGTTTCTGAAGTGCTCATTCCGTCGTACAGGAGGGGAAAACTGAAGTTTTGGTTTCCTGCAAAAACAAGGTGGAGGCTCCTCGTGTCCAGGGCCATCAGGCTCTGAGGCTCGTAGAGGGAGAAGTCTTCCAAGGTCAGGAGGACCTTGCGGAGCCGCAAACCCGTGAGGTACCTGAAGTGGGAGCGTCGCAGCGTCGCGGCGCTCAGCCCCAGGAACTCCAAACGGGACATCTGCCCCAATTCCTGACAGAGGGGCAGGGCAGCCAACTTGGTGAAAGAGAGATCCAAGTGCCTGAGGGAGGCGAGAGTCAGGCAGTAAACTTTCAAAATGCTGTTATGAGACAAATCCAAGTGTTCTAAGTCTTGATTGAAAAAGAAGACGCCGAAGTCGAGCTCCGTAATTAGATTATGAGAAAGATTTAACACTCGGAGGTCAGAAAGAGAAATAAACTCCGAGGTACTAAGTCCAGAGATCCTATTATGGGATAAATCTAACACCTGAGTACGGACTGGAATGGTGTTTGGAACACTGGTTAGCAAACGGCTTGAATAATTTGCAATAAATTCATTTTCCACACTTGGCTGGATATTATTCCAGAGCAGGAATGTACAGACACAGGCAAAGACCTGGGTATTTGAGAAGGGTCCCATTGTGCTTCCAGCTTTATCTCCGTTCCCTACAGAAACACAGGAGCAGTTCTTTGTTTGCTGATCAGTATTTCTCGGTGATGAGTCCAGCCCTGTGAAAAGAAAACACATGGAATTTGATGAAATTGTGGAACTGTTGAAATTGCTTTTCATTGCTAAAATAAAACTCAATAGAAAATTTATTTAATAAAAAACTTCCATGTTTACATACTTGTGTTCTAAGTTCTTCTCAAGCCTCCTCACCCTCATTCTTTAATTCCAGTTACTGATTGTCTCAGATCAGTACAAACTAATTTCTATATCATGGGAGGAATACAATCAGTGGTGAGTTAAAAAATCGTAAGTTTGTTAAGAAATACAAATTTCTTAACAATATTCAAAAATTCAAAACCAGTACAAACAGACATCAGTGCATTTAGGAGTAAAGGAGAACCCAAGTCCCTCATCTGCTCTTTCCCTGCACACCACGTCCAGACACACCTGGGGACAGACCTCCAAGAGCCCCAGGGACACAGAGGAACCAGCACAATCTCCTCCATCAGCAGAGGCAAAGGATGTTCCTCTTCACACCCCAAAAACCCAGCACAGGGCCCTGCACCCCTCAGGGGCAGCCATCAGAGAAGCTGAGCAGCTCTGGCTTTGCTCTAGCACAAAGGCAGAACCCAACACTGCCTATGGAGTAGTGGGACCCAAAATCTGGAAGAAAACACTTGACACTTCCAAAGACTCCAGGATTTCCCAGGAGACCTCCAACACTCTCTAGATAACCCCACAGTTGCACCTCGAACAAAGAACCCCTCTAGAAACAGTGGCAACTGGACAATGACTAATTCTAAGGATCAAAAAGTCCAGGGAGGGTAAGATTTTTGTGGATATGGAAAACAGTCCAGTAGAATTAATCCATGGCCACGTCCACCAACAGCCTGCAGAGACCTGGGGGGGCATCAGTCCTCTCATGGAAAAGCATGACCTGGGGGTCACTCTCTTCTCATCAAGCATTTAACACAGCACATGGACAACTGAAGCACCAGCAACTCATCAACTGTTTCAGGAGAAAAACAGCCTCAATTTTTTTTTTCTCTACTGATTTTGTTTGAAAAAAAACATCTACTTTTAAAATTCTGCCCCTGTGTAATTTCTGTTACACAAAACCCAAAAGCCTTTTTTGGTTTTTTTCAGTTCTAGGTTATAACATGTGTTAGTTCCCAACAATTTCTCTGAACTGGTAACAAAACTCATCCCTTCCCCTCCAAGTCTCCTACCAAGTTAATCAAGTTTTCTTTCAAAAAAGTAAAATAAGTAAATCACTTTCAAATTACATGTATAAAAATATGCATAATTAACATCACGGAAAGCAAGAAAAGAATAATCAGTAAAGTGGAAATTTCCACCTCAACAGCATCCAATTGAGAGGTCAAATTCTGTCTTCAGAAAGGGTGTCTGAGTAGAACAGAACATGCGAACAGAAACGATGGTCGGTCAAAGCACAACATCCCTCACAAGAGGAACCAAGACAAGGAAATCTGACCTGGCTTCCTCCAAAGAGCACCTCACCCTGGTTCTCAGGGTCCAGGCTGGTGAAGAACCTCTGGAATCAAATAAACTTCCATCTGGAACTGTCTGGAGGAGCCTCCCCCCAGGAAAAAGGGATATCAGGAACAAAGCACGAAACTTTCTGAAGGGAGAAAAAAACCCAATTGTGTGTGCTCCATCACCAGAGGAGCTTTCATTGACTGTTCATGCTACACCATACACTGCAAGAAGGGCTGCTCCACGCTCTGTAGCACTGAAGAGAGCCACAGTCAAAGAAGAAAGCAGTTGTGTCTCACAAAGCCATACCAGGGACCAACAGTTCCCCCTCCAACACTATTTTATGAAGGTATTAGATTCTAGTTCGCTGAGAAGGAAAATTGCCAGGGCAAACTTTTTTTTTTCTTTTCTTTGCTGAAATTCAACACGCAGATGAGCATTTTCACTAAAATTCA